GAAGTTTGACTGTCTGAACAAAACCTAGCGCTTGTGCATAAAACTAATTTTTTGCCATGCGCTTGCAAAGTCCACAAAAAATCCAGTTTTGCCGCAATTTTTATGTAAGTTTCTACATGTTAAGTCTAAATTGTTTTCTTTAGAGTGCGTAAATTTCAAGTTGCTACTTGTTTTGGTGTAAAAGCTTGACTGTCTGAACAAAACCTAGCGCTTGTGCATACAACTGATTTTTTGCCCTGCGCTTGCAAAGTCCACAAAGAATTCAGTTTTGCCGCGATTTTTATGCAAGTTTCTGCATGTTGAGTCTTAAGGGTTTTGTTTAGAGTGCGTCAATTTCATGTTGCTACTTGTTTTTGTGTGGAAGTTTGGCTGTCTGAACCAAACCTTGCGCTTTTGCATAAAACTGACTTTTTGCCCGGCGCTTGCAAAGTCCACAAAAAATCTAGTTTTGCCGCGATTTTTATGCAAGTTTCTGCCTGTTAAGCTTAAAGTGTTTGCTTTGAAGTGCGTAAATTTCAAGTTACTACTTGTTTTATTGTTTAAGCTTCACTGTCTAAACAAAACTTTGCGCTTGTGCATAAAACTGACTTTTTGCTCGGCGCTTGCAAAGTCCACAAAAAATCCAGTTTTGTCGCCATTTTTATGCAAGTTTCTACATGTTAAGTCTAAATTGTTTGCTTTAGAGTGCGTGAGCGTCACGTTTCTGCTTGCCCCAGTTTTTAACTTATTCAATTTTTTGTAGCGAACAAACAGAAAAGTTTTGGCTTGCATTATTAAACCCTCCATAGTAGACTGAAATGAATTTGTAACTTCCAGGCTGAAACAGGTTTTACCTTGCACGTCCAATAGATGATGAACCACGCGAAAAATGGAAAACGTTTTGAGAAAAGTTTCATTTAAATCGCTCCAAACCTTGATTTTTGATTAATTTATAAACGCAAGACACAAGCTATGTTTTAGCAAAATTTCACGCTTTTCTTCAAAAATGTTGAAAACTTTGAAACTGAAACAGGTTTTATCTTAAAATTCGCACTTCCAGTGGATGACGATTCACGCGGAAAACGGACAAAGTTTCATATCAATTGCTCCCAAACCCGATTTTTGATAAATTTATAAACACGAGCGACAATTTGCGTTTTTGCAAAATTTCACGTTTTCCTTAAAAAATGTGCAACTGCTAAACTCAACAGGTATGAACTTGAAATTCCGACGTCCACTGGACGATGGTTCAAACGAAAAATGGAAAAAGTTTCATATAAATCGCTCCAAAACCTGATTTTTGCCAAATTTATAAACG